AACTTGTTTCCAGGTTTTGGCCTACAAAAAATGCATCCTCCTTTCAGCACTCTATGGCCGCATTTACATTACATGGTTCAAGTGACCCAATTCCATTTTTTTCCTCCCATGTGGCATAGATCAGATATGACCCACGAACATGTAAGCAGGAAAAAAAAACACATGGATACCGATGTTCTCAGATCGGTTTCAAGCCTCATTCGTATGTGGAAATAAACCTGATATGAATTGGATATGAGCATTTGCTTCTGCCATGTAAGTGGACTTTTCACATACACCCGTCAATGCAAGTCGATTGTCACTGAAAAAGTGACGATGGCAGATGACATCAACTCAGATGTATGCTTTTCCGGGTCAGTATGTCTACCTTAAGTTGTTTCGCCAAGTGTATACAGAATATGGGTCACATTTTAAAAAATGTAAGCTGGTCATCCAAAAATCTGATATAGTCAACAAATCAGTGCAAATGCATGCAATTAGGCACTGAATAAAATACCTATTAACAGATCAGTCAATAGAATTGCCTCGGGGTCCTCAACAGGAAAACTTTTCATGACCAGTTTCGGAATTTCAATCATTTTTTGTGTGATTTGCTAAATTTATGACAACATTACTGTCAGATTTTATCTCTGATTTGAAATATGAAATCTTAACAAGCAGTTTTGGGGGTATTCACATTCAAGCAGATAAAGTTGCCAAGATGGCTCCCGAGTGAACTGAATTTCCTCATAGGGCTTTGGCACCGATCACCTCTACTAGAACTATTTTATACCAACATTCCACATTTTGTCCTGGTGAGTTAGAGAGCAGCAGGAGAGATGAGCGGGAAAGAAACAGATGATATATCCCAGAGTTCACCTAGGATGCTGTCTGGACAACCCCAAGGAATGTCCGCGAAAACAACAGCATTTACGCAACATTCTGCATCTAGAAAGGCAAAAGACAATCCTGAGAAACAGTCAGATCGACTACCCTGAAAAACACCCAACTAAACTAGTGCTGAGTGCAGCATTTTCATTAACCGTTGCTCATTTTCCCTTCAGGGGGCAGGAGACTATGAATACTCTACTTCTAACACACAAAGCCTCATAAAAGTGCCACACGGTGTGCTTTCCACATGTTCGGAAAACAAATAAACGATGTTAAGAGGTGCAAAGGCTCATGTGAGCTTGTCTCCAACCGCCTCCGTCGTCTGCCACCCAGCCTACTTTTGCCCCCTTCCTATCTTTTTTTCAGTCCATTTCCTCTGGTTTCGCAGAGGCAATGTGTTGAGCAGATGTGAGCGGTTATTAAGCAGAACCACTAGCCTCTTTAAATGGAGTCCTGGCTACCCTGGGCCTCCTCCTCCGAGGGGACCAATCCTCTGGCTGCATACTCCTCTCCTGGGCTTTTCGAGCGCTTTTAATGTTTATGTTTTTACGACAGCCATGTGCAGGTGAATTCTGCTCCCGCTGGGAAGGGGAGCAGAAGGGCATCACGGGAAGGCAGGAGTTCTGAGACGGAGAGTGTTTAATTCTTGCTTTTCCACACCAATTTTCAGCCGGATACTACCAAAGACGTTGGACGGCTTCACGGGCGTCCATGTCAAGAAACAGACGAAAAATAGCGCTCCCCTCACCAAAACAAATACTCGTAGCTCTAGACTGATCTCCCTTGTCTCACACCGGGATTAAGTGCATACTTTGTCCGACAAGTATTTTGTACGGGCGTCCAAACACCCACAGACCTGCTCTCAAGTACTATAATAGTCATCAAGACTAACAGGTAATAACACAATAGGTCATAACTAGATACAGCCACACTTTGGAGTGGGTTTAGCTTCCTTCCTGCACAGACAACACGAATATGGTCCATTATAAACAGACTGGGATATTACAGCACTGGGAAAGGAAGGAGACGCATGGCCATTAAAGTGCACAGATAAGGGGGGGGGGGTGCTTCTTTTTATTCTTCTTTACCATGGCCAAGT